ACCGCCCCTCTTGCAATTCCCTCTCCCCCCCCCCCGCCCCGCCTCGGTGGCTGGTGGATTGGAGGAGGGCCACGCGGCACAGAGGCTTTCCTGGCACCGGACCCAGCCGCTGCCATCTGCACCCTCCTGACCACGTGCTGTGCCGAAGCCATGTGCGGGGCCGGCCTCCAAAGACGCCGACTGTTCGCTAGGCCAGGTTTGCAGAGGCCTGATCTTTGGTTTCAAGGGCACCGTGCGTGCGCGAGCGCCGGTTCTTTGAAGTTCCGTGTTTGCATGTGGACTGCGTGTGTATGCATTCGTACGTGTACCGGCTTTACCTGATGAAACCTAGCAACTGGGAAGGAAAAAAACAAAAAAAAGTTTTAGAAGAGTCTTTCTGTTCTCCAGATCTCACTGTTCCCACAGGACAGAGTGGAGGAGCAGGGACAAAAGAAGTTCTAGAGGGAAGATACTCTGTTTAAGCAAAAACGTGTTCAGCGCGTTTATTCTTATAGTATGGCGAGACCAATCCAGGAGTGGCAAGAGAATAAGGAAGAAAAAGCAGCCAAAGCAAATGTTCTTTTGCAGTAGCACGTAAAGAGGAATGCCAGACACTGCTCTGTTGACACTGGTAAAAACTTAGTGTAAAGGAGATACAGTGCTTTAATAAATGTTAATATTCAGTAGCAGTTGTGCAAAACAAAAAAAAAAAAAAAAAGATCAAGCCTGCATTTGGACTTGAGAAGAGGTATCCACACTGGAAAACTGCGGTGGGATGTGTGTGGTCAATGGCACAAATTAATGTTGTGTAGCCTAATTTCCAGAGATGGATTTGGTAAAAAGATTGAAGAAAGATTGCAGGCACTGACTCAGAAGAAAAATTTTATTTCACAGAATCGGCCCTGCTGCAAGGCCTAAAGATAGAACGACCAAGCCATAAAAGAGAAATTTATAAACACTGGCATTGCTCTTCATCTTGGGCCTAACATCAGCATAACGGGCAGTTCGTAAATTAGATTGCCCGGAATAACGCTTGGTCTTGGGAGCGCTACAACCTTCAAACAGCCTTCAAACTACCTGCAGCAACATTTTGGGAAAAAGCAGACATAACTCTCCGTGCCAGATTCTACCAGATAAGACTGCTGCGACTCTGAACGCGCGATTTGCTAAGTTTGAAGCTTCCTCGGCCGTTAGCTAAATCCGAACAGCTACCCGGCCTCCCCTTTGGATATGGGGATGTTTAACCTAGGTTGTTGTGTTGGCAATGACAGGGATGAAAACAAGAGTAGTTCAAAGGTTGGAGACTTGCTAAGAGTCCAGTACTTTGATCTACTGTCGGTGTTGTTATGTTTCTTTTAGGAAGCACATCCAGAGCCTTTATTTAACACTGCTACGCACCACAGCTGGAGAATGGATCAGTAAATGAGAACCATGTTCTGAGAGTTTTACTTAGCTTTTAAAAAAAATAGTGCTGAGTTCACCAGAATTGGGGCCCTCTTCAGCTCCCTACTGAAGTTGGGAATATTGCCTGGGGAAGGAGTGCTCAGGAAGGCTGCCGCTAGGCTCTCTATTTTTATTGTTATTTTTGGATGTCGAGATTTTCTCTACCTCTTGCTTTCCTCATGACTTCTTTGTTGGCTAGTGAAGATCACATGTGGCTTAAGTAGCATCTGGACTTTGCTTTGCTGTTGCTGGGTTGTGTTGTATTGCCCCTTGCCAAAATGAACCTAGATGGACTGCAAATGCGTTGTGCTGCCTGGATGCTGTGGGGCCCGATCCAAAGTCCACTGGGAACACTGACACTCGCTTAAGCGGCCTCAGGGGCAAGTGCAGTATTTCCTTTGCTTGAAGTACAGCCTGTGTCCTCCCGTAAAGGAGGGTCTCCTAAGAAGAGGCAGCAAAATAATGCTTGCTTAGAAAATAAAATCTCCGCCAGTTGGCTTAACAAGGTGAAAGCTGTGGAAGTGTTTGTGGATGAGCGTGTATGTGTTTGCTCCAGAAAGAGAAGGTTACGCTGCAAGGTGAAGTTGAGGGGAATTCCTTCTAAGCTCCCTCTTCAGTTGTCTGGCTAGTAGAAGTGGATTTGTTTGATTTGGTTTAGTTTTGAAAAATCCATTTTCACCAAAGGACGTCTTTGTGCTGTGGTAGGTTCGGGAGAAAAAGTGGAAAAAAAAAAAATTACCAGGGGTTGTTTGAAGTTAACACATAATTGAGCTTAATGAATGGGGCTTTGGCATGGCCGAGCAAGGCAGGGAGAGCTCAAAAGGAAGCAGGCCTCTTTTGGCCCAAGTTAAGACCAGTGTTGAGGGAGAACTGCAGCTCTATACAAGCATAACAATGAATAGCAACAAATATTGGAGCTTCAGCATTTCATTATGTTCCTCTGGTTATCAAAACATACCAGGCTCCTTTTATATTATTATTGCTATTGTTGTTGTTGTTGCTTTCCTCCTGTCCGATGGAGAAAGAAAGATTCCCCTTTGAAACAAGCGTGTTACAATTCTCCTATTCTCTGGCCTTTATAAAATTGGAAGTCTCAAGGTATGTGACCAGTTGGAACCTGTTGCATCTTGCAGCAAGTGATTTATGTTCGCAGTTTTGATTTGCCTCAATGAAAAGATTTTCATTCATAGCCCCCAGCTCTCCAGACGGATGGAATTGCTGCTCCATTTAAAAAGGAAAAGGGGTGACTCGCCTTGTTAGGAATTTTTTTTAAAGCGCTGCAGCGCCTATATGCCTGCTTTGTCCTCCCTTCAGGGTGGCTGGCATTCTTCTCTCTCCACCCCCTCCTCTCTCTCTCTCTCTCTCTCTTTTTAACAACGCTGAAGTTGTTTATTCTTTTTGGATGAAGTCTCAGATAGGCTACTGGGGATGTGTGCTTCAATTGATGGGGCCCCCTACCCCATTGTGGCTGTGTCAGGTCTAATTCATCTCACCGAAGCCCCCTTGTTCCTGAGCGCTCAATAGCGCAAGATGAGGCGATGGAGGCTGACAATGATGCCACACTCTTCACTTGGGGGCATCCAATTACAGGCGAGAGGGGCCCCCTGATTAATATGCTGAAATTAGTGGCCTCTGCCACAAATAATTCCTTGTTGAGTTGCAACAAAAAGGCAGTCCATGCTGCTTGTCTGGAGTGGTTATAGGGACAGACACAAACTGGTCATTTAAACTTCATTATCACTTTTCCACCTTGGAAAGAATGAGGGTGTGACCATGAATTCATGTTCTTGTTTACTGCTCCGTTTAAAAGAAGAACGCAAATATTAATCCCAAACACGATCCTGTCAGGACAGACTCATTAAACTGACACATTTTGGTCATGTTCTGTTTGTGGAGCTCGGTCAATAGTGTCGGGAACGCGCGGCCACCATACCCCTCCGAGCAACCCAGTCTTGGTGGAATTCATGCTCGCCTACTGAAATCCCTCGTTTCTCAAGTCTACCTGCAACTATCGGTATTTCAGTCATGGGACTGGCTTTGGAATGCGTGTAGTGTCAATAAGCGGTCTGGACTACTTTGATTTTTGGGAAATGACAGAAGCTTGCTAGAAGGTGGGCATATTTGTATCTGCCCGGAAACGGGCAGACGAGGAAATGTGGATAAGCTAAATTTATTTTAAGCACGGTAACATAAATGAGATTACTTTAGATCAAGCTTGCCTTTTCGCTGGCAGTGCATCACAAAAGTTTGGCCACAATTCATCGTATCAGTTTGATTTTGAAGGTTCATAGAACGCTGGGCGAAGTGCCCCTTTGAAGGTGGGTATTGGTCAGGGCTACAATGGAGTGTCAGAGGTATATGAATAGGTTCAGAGAGAGGACTTTCAGAGAGTCCCGAAGTCTTTTAGTTTCACTGGTAAAACATTTACACAAAAGTTATTTTATCATAATAAAGGAGATGCATGATTTAATACTTAAACTGTTCCACTGAGCCCTCTAAGCTGTCCATTCCTTTGATTTCATTCAAGGGTTTGACAGATGGTTTATATTTTTTCAACCCAGAGGAAGTTGTATTCTGATAAAAGCTAAAGGAATGTATCTCAGGTTCTCATGTATAATGTGGCATTTCCCTTTCTTCCTCACAAAATTGGACGTTTACTCGTGCCACTTACTTCCTTTGTTTCTGATTCTCCTCCAAGGTGTACGCTGCCACGGATCAAACGCATTCCTGTTCAGCAGAAAGAGTCTTAGCATTAAAATGTGGATTATTCTTATTAAAAACAAAACAACAGAACAAACCAAAACCCAAACCCGTGCTAAATGGCAGAGATAGCCCCTTAAGGAATCATGGGAGTGGCTTTGTGGAGAGACCTACAGCAATGCAGTCTGGAAGGGGGCCCAGCCTCTTGTCAGCATGGTGTCACATCAGAATGTAACTGATTGTCCGCCAATTCTTGGGACCCCCGTCACTTAGTTATGCCACATTTACATTAAATCCCTGTTGCCAGGATGGATGGCAGCCACTGACAAGAGACTAGGTTGAGACAAAGCGTTTTTAAGATGAAACCTTAATTTAAATATGGATTATCTGCCTCCTGACAGGGTTAAGCAGTCTTTCTCTTTCTTTCTTTTTGTTGATGTTGTTGTTCATTAAAGCTATATTCCTTTGAATGTCAGTGCAAAGGTTTCTGCTTTAAAGGGCTCGAGGACTCCGTATTGGAGTGCACCTAGGATCTGATCATGCGAAACACTTCAGAATGCGAACAGGTTTTCTCAGATGTATAGTGCCATTGACCCCAGTGGCATTATTCACATGAGCAAAGTATTTTAACATTTGAAGAATGGGGGCCCTGCTTATGATAAAAATACCTCGAAGTGATGACTGGTCTCCCAGGCTTAGTGCTGGGAAGGGCTACTCGCTGAAGTATGGTTGCTCCTGTGGATAAGTGTTTACAGGTTTGGACCTGTAACAGTTCAGAGCAGGAGGCACCTTTCTGCTCACAATTTTCCCTTTTCGGATGCAATAGTTGGCAGCTGAAGCCGTGCTGGTAGAAGAGTGTATGTGTACGGGCAGGCTTCTCCTAAAGCAATCATTTCAGTCTTTTTTTTTTTTTTTTTTTTCTCTCTCTTCTTTCTTCATACAGATATTAAATTTATTTCAAACCCACCTTCCATGATCGCAGCTGGCAGTGTGGTAGCAGCTGTGCAAGGCCTGCATCTGGGGAACACTAACACTTTCCTCTCCTATCAATGCCTCACACATTTCCTATCACAAGTTATCAAATGTGATCCGGTAAGTGACTCTTGCTCTCGGTTGATCTCCTGCCTTAGAGTTTTAAGAATGAATGCCTGCTTACTGCATAGTAGCTAATCTGACAGTAAATCTTGATAAAAGTCAAACCTCGGAGTGGGGTTTTTTTTGAACATGTTCTCCTGTGTCTGTCCTAGTTATTTAGCTGTCGTTATATCCATTAATAATCGGTGATTACGCTGCTGCAGTTCGCTGATAGGAATGCCACATCCAGCTCTAATGTTTGTGAGAGAGGCGTATCTGACAAAGCGAAGGAAACCCTGCATCGATTTAGGACGTTGCAGAGGTTGGGTTTGGTTGTAGGTAATTAAACCAGGAGTCTATGGAAAAACAACACTGTGAAAATAAGACAAGGAAATAGTTACTGAGATTGCAATAAATAGACCTCGTGGTATCTCTGACCTTATCTTTGACCATTCTTAAGGCCTTTTATTGTGCCAAGTGGTGTGAAAAAGCCCTTCTTAAGAGTTCTAATGATCTAATTTGGTTTATTACGTGCTAGACCTGCACAGTAGCTGGTATTGAATTCCTTGTTGGAACAAATGCTTGTCCCACGACTTTCTGACAAGGTAGATGGTCCTCACAGGACTCTCATTTTGCCCTGCAGCTTCCAGGAGATGCACATCAGTAACTAGTGAGCAATAAACCTTTCATGAGTGAATGGGCCAGGAAGGGAGCCTACAAGGAAGACCTAAAGTCAATGATCCATGTCATAATGGTGTGTGAAGTTGGGGCAGAGTTGAGCTTTGTTTTGTAACAATGTGGAAGACCAATAAATAGATGCTTTAAAAAGGTTCTTGTGAGGTCTCCAAGCGCTGGACAATGAGTCAAATAAAGACAACTCTGTGGTTAGGGGCAGAATCTTTGAGATGCTGTTAAATTATTTTATGTGTTAATAATTTAAATACATAGAGAACTGTATTAGCACAAACACTCCAAAACTAGGTTTGTATAATTGGACTTTGTTGACAGGATTGAGTGACTATGTGAAACAATTGCTTACAAATACGACATCTCAGCTTATTATTGTGCTCACCTTAAAAACGCCTCAGTATTGAGCACGTTGTTTTTGCTGTTTCTACTACTGCAGCTAAAGTAATATGGATCCAGTGCTGACATGTTAAATACTATAAGAACTTTAAATGCTGAAATAAAATGCTGCTCAGTTTGGTATGGACATGCAATGCTTTTAGTCAGTTTGTGAACAATGTAGATATTTCAGCGCATGGTTGGCCACTATCCCGTGCGGGATATTTAAAGCAGGTACTGAGGAAAAATACGAGGCTTGCTATCTGTTCTGACAGCACCCGAGTCAAACAAAACCATTATTTAATCATTGCTGATACAAAGCATTGAAGTAGATTCTCTCACATCTTGGAGAACAACAGCATGTCCTTATGTGACTTGACTTAGTTGATGACAGAGCTCTTTTAAAAGAAAAGTAGTTTTAGCAGGGAGGAGAATCCTTGCTTATTTCTTCTTTATTGTCCAGAGTCATTGCAAGGCCACAATCTGTATGACCCGAACGTAAAGTTAAGAGCTTTACAAGGAAGTAACTCCCCTCCAGCTTTTGTTGCTAAATATATTTGCGTGTTAGAGCAGCCAGAGTTAGAAGTAAGGGTTTTGTATAGCTTGCTACAGAAAATAAGCATAATAAAATCATACCTATGTATACTGTTACGTTTGTAATGGAATAAGGGAACAGCATTTTTCACTACTATTTCTTTGAGTAGGGAAAACTGCTTGGTTTCATACATGGTATGATTCCCCTGCATAGAGAATTTCCCGTAATCCATGCCTACATAATCCATGGTAACAACTGCTATTCCTATTATCTTATTTCACTAGCCTGTATGTGAAGTTTGTTACTCCACAGTGATGTTCCCCTTGTCAGACCGCACAGATGAATACGCTTTATATTGGATTGTCTTGCAATATTAAGAGCGTGCATTATAACATGGCTAACATTCTCCCCGATTATCTATTAGCTAGAGCAGCTGGTCTGTTGGATTTCAGGTTATATAATTACACTTTTTTACCTTTAGTCTCAAAGAAAGCTGAATCTAAAGTAAAATGAATATCACCTGATTGGAATTCCTTTATGGTTCATGTTTACGTTGGTAGGAGTCCAATTTCCCATTTTGCCTTTGATCAGGGGTAATTAGAAGTCAGATAATCACAATTAGAAGTCTTGGGCTGTCTTCCATCATTCTATTCTTGACCCCATCATCCAAACAGATTCAATTTTACCTGACATTCATTTCCAGGCCAGAAATTTGCTAAACTAGATTAGATTGGGTTTCTGTGCTGTCTGTTAGTGCATTGGAATTCGTCTCCTGCCTGCCCCTACTCAGAGGCACCTTCAAACATGTGCTTGTTATCCAGAACGGGTCAGGCAGTAACAAAGGATTTCCAGGCAGGTTTTTTTTGTTGTTGTTGTTTGTTTCCTTTAGTGTCTGACCCTGGAGTCTGATCATGTCTGCTGTGTGTGTTAAAGGTATTTGACCACATCAGTTAAGCTAGCAAGTCTTTTTTTTTTTTTTTTTTTTTTTCCACTGAGGAGCTTAATTAATCCAGGAAGGGTTTATGACCTTGAACAAACTGTGGGCATTGAAAATTTGGGTAGTGAAGCAGAAAAGTTGTTGGGAGAAGTTATCAGAGTAATGCACAAGTTTTGTATTTGCTTTTCAGTGGTGAGAAGTACTGAGAATGAAAAAAGCTTTGGTGAGGTTGTTCACAGTGAATGTTGTATTTTGCAGTTATTTCTGCTAACTCTAATACATTCCTGCAGACAAACTATTCATCTGATAGTCATCTGAATAAGAAGTGATTTGAACAAAAAATGCCTAAAACATTAAAAAAAATTTTGTTCATTCAACTGTAGCTTAAGACATAGTCTGTTCATAATAAATTATAAAGATTATGTTTTAAAAAAATAGTTACAACATGCTGTACTCTGAGAATCTCATAGGAAAAAAAATTTCTGTGGTCAAAAAATACCTTTAAATTACATACTCCCCTGTAATTATTCATGACTGGACTCCAGTGGGAGAAGAATAGGTATTTATAGAAATTCTTTTGAATGGTTTTAGTTTTCAGAGCTCAAATATGCTATACACAAATGGTAGGATTAAAAAAACCCAAATGACAAAAACCCCAGCAAAACCCATGAAACACCTCCCTGCACGCCCCCCCCCCCAAAAAAAAAAAAAAAAAGCAGTTTGTTTTACTTTGAAAATAAATTGGCTTTCAGTTTGGAACACTGAACATGCTACCTTGTTACAACAGAATTATTCTCAAAAGTGCCTGGATTTGTAAAACCGAAAATATCTAAACCTGTATTCGAGTACTGCTCTTTAATACATCTAATTCCAAGTGTGACTGAGGTACGTGGTACAGGACGTGCAAGCAGAAGCCTTACAGTCAGGATTGATCCGTCATATCTTGAGAAGGAGTGAAAGGACTTCATAGAGATCTTATTGTGCAGGCCAGAGGTATGTAGGAGCCAAAGGCATGATGACTTTAGGATATGAGGCGTTTCTTTTTGTCATTTAAAACGCTGTGTGTCTCTGTCAAGAGGAAATATTACACTAGGGTTTAAACCAGAAAAGGTCATAGGTTATGTGTTTTCAGTGAGCTGTAACTGATGGTCTGATCTGCTTAGAGGTAGGATTAACCTCCCTCCCTCTCAGAAAGGACTTGCAGAGAATTGTTTGCTTGGGTTTCTAATCTTATTTTACCCCAAATGCCATGTGCCCTTATTGGTGGCAGAGGAGATTCTTGTGGTAGTGGAATCAGTGAAAAGCTGGTAGATCACACAAGAAGCCTCTGAATGAAGGCAGAATTGAAACTGGGAAATAAAGAAAACAGCAGGCAGGTCACCCTCTCAGGAAAACAACATTCATTCTCAGTCATGCACATCCTAACACTTTTGACGGCAATTTATCATGGAAGACTGGGTTCACCGCAAGGGCTAACTCATGTCATAGGTTAAATCAGAGAAGGCAATACTGAAAGGAAACTTCAAAGTCCTTAATACACAGAGTTAAATATGTTGGGGGAAAAGCTTACGATGTTTGTTATAAAGATATGAGTAAACAGCATGCTGGAGGAATTTGGGCAAAATAGAGCGTGATTGTTTTGCCTGTTTAAGGCACCGTTTGTGTCGTTGCAATGGCTCTGAGGAACACAACCGTAACTTGCAGAAAGTTGCACAGGTTGAGCTAACAGGCCGTCTCCAATTCGAATTGCTGTGGACCGCTAAGTAGAATTGGATATATCTACTCGTAGTATGGTTTAATGCCTGGTGCAAGTTACCTTTCCCCGCAGGAGATGTGATCCTAGTCGGTGCTTTATGCTTTTAATTCAGCCCAAAGTCTGTGCAAACGGCGAGGCCCTTGCACCCTCCTGAACGCTCAGTAGGATTGGGTGGGCATTCAGCTCTGGGAAAATGCTTCGGAAGCCAGGCAAAGAGATCTCACCCTGACTGAGACGGCCAGGTGAACGCGGTAGCAAACTAAAGCTTGGCAGCACTTCATAATGCAGGGTTACGAAGATGCTTAGTGGTGCTTCTGAATGATCTCTCCATTTTGGGATCATACAGTCCGGTACATTTTTGTGTTCAGATGCTTTCGGAGGTAGAAATCAGTTAGCTAACTTGAGCTGCCCACTGCTGGACATAGCAGCAGTTGGCAGGCAACTTTGGGCATCTACATCTAAATATACATATGGCACTTCTAACAGCTTTCTATTATCAGAACTTAGCCTAGGAAAATCACTGTTTATGACCAGCACTTCTAGTAGACTGTATTGCCAAAATGTTTCTGTGGTAAAAGCAGAAATCGTTACAGCATCAGCAATACTTAGACCAAGCCTGACTGCAGCCCAGTTTCATGTCTTTGCAACTCCACTCATTTAATTTTGATTGATTGACACTGCTGTCCTGTCAGACTGTCCCTGCTTTTTAAAACGTATAAAGGACAGTGAGGTAAAAGATAGTGTAAATGGACTTTTACAGAACTGCCGAAGCGTTAACAGCACAGGCAGAAAAGTAGTAGTGCGAGCTACATCATCTTACTGTGTCAAGGTCCTGCCCGGGGTTAGTTACTACACATGTCATTGTAGTGGAGCATCCATCACATTTAGTTATAGACCTATGGGCCGAGACTAACAACAAAACGCAGTCATGGTTTGTCCAGAGGACCATGTATCGAGACGCTCACCTAGGCCATTGAATAGAAGATGGATCCAGGCTAGCGTACTGCAGAAAATGGGGTAGCTCGTCCAATCTGGTCACTACTCCGTGGTTCTCGTGCTCTTCCCACACTCCTTGCAGTTTGCTGCCCTCCCGAATAACTTGATATTTCTCTTGCTTTTTCAAGAAATGGTATTTGGTCTGTGATCTTGCTATTTTTCTAAAGGACCCTGGGTCTTTTTCTCCTTCCATTTAATCTTCTGTAGGATTGTTTACGAGCCTGCCAAGAACAGATTGAATCCCTCCTTGAATCCAGTCTACGTCAGGCACAGCAGCACAATGTATCTTCAGAAACAAAGACTGTAGAGGATGAAGCAGACCTTTCCTGCACACCTACTGATGTGCGAGATGTGAACATTTAAGAGGACTTCTTCTAATGGGTTTGCTTGGCAAGAAAAGCAGACAAAGAAAGGGCATCTGAGAAGGAATCAGCATCAGGATCTCCCCCCCAGAAACCCTTTTCTCCAGGACATTTTTATACCAGAAGGGAAAACCAGTCTTGTTATATTTTCTTCTTGCTCTGTCTCCCTTCCATCTGTGACTTCAAACAAACAAATAAACAAAAAATACCCCAAAAACTGTCTTAAAAAAAGAAAAAAATAGTATTTGCATTACCCCCAGGGGTTTGTGCTACAAAAATAGAGGATTTTATACAATAATAATCAACTAGTTTTTATATTAAAGTGTTCTTGTCTGTATGTTGTAAAAATAGGCATTAACACACAAAATGTCTCCAGGGGAGGTATTAGATTTGATTTCTTACATATGAAACAAACCAACCAACCATTTTTAAGTAGAAGAGGGTTTTTTTTTTTTAGATAGTAAATGAAATACTCTTTTTTTTTTCTTTAAAAAGCATAGCTTTAACGCAGTTCTAGGCTTTTCTGTATCTTGCTTGCTTATGCATTTAGTCACTTTATAATTCATCTGTAAATGTTTATTTTATTTCCTTAGGTTTTTTTTTATCCTCTTCACCTTATAAATGGTTAACGTAACCCATAAGTTAGTGTATGTTAGTATGCAGCATTATTATATGTTAATCTTTTTTTGTGCCTGTGGATTGCCTGTGCATAAGGCATTTGTAGGGTTCAGCTTAGCATTGTTGGGAAAGGCCAATGTACTACTCATACGATACTCTATTATAAAGAGAAACCGAAATAGTGACATAATATATTATATTTTTGTAATCTTCATATTTTTGTAGTTACCTGTGTAAAATGCTGGTCTGACCCCACAGATATTCAGCCTAATTATGGTCAGGTTCAATCCACAGTTTAGTCTTTTTTTTTTTGTTTGTTTGTAATATTCTAAAACCATTCCATTCAAAGCACTTTCAGTCCATTAGATATAGGAAATACATTCTTTTATTGTGTGGGAATTTTTTTTTAATGGAATGGTTTGGAAATATATAAGTGCTTGTTCGCAAACTTGGAATTGCAAAGCAAGTGCATTTAACTATGGTGTTAGAGGAGAGGTGATTTTTTTTTTTTTTTTCCGAAGGTTGTGTTCCAGTGAGAGAAATTGCATTCACAAATTGCCAGGATATCTTCCTATCCTTTTCTATAGAAAAGTTGAAGTTTAGAAATCCTTTGGTGCCAACTCATCTTTATAAATTAGGGGCCTTAAAGGTTCACATATAGGACACATAGTTTAAGGATTGTCGCTAGATGTTTTACAACTGAAGGTTTTTAAACACTAAAATATATAATTTATAGTTAAGGCTAAAAAGAATATTTATTGCAGAGGATGTTCGTAAGGCCAGTATGATTTGTAAAATAATGCAATCGCCCCTTTTAAAAAAAAAAATCTTTCTACCCTTGATGTTGCAGTTTTAACACAGCTTATTAAAGAAAAAAGGACACGCTTCAAAGAACAAACCCAAAACCAAGCAGTCTATTTGGCCCCTTCCTATACATTTTTCAAAAGCAGTCTAACCATGAAAACGCCATAGTTAATAGATACGAAAATTGGAGTACTTGAAAGAAGTTCTTATTCCAGTATATGCCCCATTGTTTTATTTAGCTACAAATAGAAAATTTGCACATCTTGGCTATGTATCTTTTTATTATTATTTTAGAAAGTAGCTGAAGGGACGTGGACATAGCTGTTGAAGTTGATGCTCGAGGAGAATGTGATGGTGAAACGTATGTGAGAAAACTGCCGCTAAGGTGTTGATTGTAAAAAAAACAAAACAACAAAAAAACAACAAAAAAATGAAAAAAGAAAAAAATTTTAAAATTAAAAAAAAAGAAAAAGAGAAAAGAAAAGGAGTGGATGCTCCATTTTTATTGAGCTGCTATGGATAAATTCCCAGCATGGTTTGAAAAAAAAAAAATTAACATTGCTTTTCTGTATCTTTGTCATTGTGTTTTGCTGCTATTTTGTGGATCAGTTTTTTTTTTTTGTTATACAATGTCATATACTGCCATGTTATAGGTTTTAATTTTCTCATAGAAGATTATATTATTGACATCATTTTTTGTAGATTTTTTATGTGATCAATTTTTACTTAATGTGATTACTGCTCTATTCCAAAAAGGTTCCTGTTTCACAATACCTCATACTTCAGTTAACCGTGTCTAGACCAGGTTTTAATGTTCGTACACAGTGCCTCATAGTTCTACTGCAAACGGAAATGCATCGAACGTTATTCTGAATGGGTCTCGCGATTTGCAACTAGGTTGCGTTAATTTAAAAACAGCAGACATTTCAGAAGATCAAGTAATGTCAGTTTTTTTGTTATGCATTTTATAAAGCTGGATTCTTTGTCTGATCTGGGGTTTATTATCATAGTAGTTTTAAGCTGTGTTATTAGCCACATTGATATATGAAAGGTGCATTATAATATAACTCTTGTATGCCACCTGATGTGGTTTTCCATCAGTTGGGACACATCATTTGGTATGATAGGTTATCTTCTGGAACTCTAAGTATTTTGTGTGTTTAATCTGTTATGATATACTAGTTTTTTGTTTGGTTTTTTTTTTTTTAATTATAGCATAATGCTAATTTAAAAAGCCTGTAAATCTCATAAATAAGCCAGCTAACAGAGTTGTATGCTGAAGAATAATCTAGCTGTTGCCTGTATGCTGCTAAACCAAAACAGAATTAGAACTCATTTTGAGGCAAATGCAGTTAAGATCCTACATAGTGCATAAATAAAGCATTGCAATGCTACTAGCAGTCGCAGGACCCAGGAGGACTGGATACATTCTGTCCAAATTTCAGGAACATTTCTTACTGCTTACCTCATAAAACACTTCTGTTTGTGGCATCTCTGTGTCTCTGAACCAAACGTGATTATTGAGTTAGTGCTTGTTGGTTATATTATGTGTTACACTGAGTGGCAGTGTGTACTGCAAATTTCTTTATTGTATGTACTAAAAGGCCAAATCCAGATTAAGTGGGTTCACGTGCCAACAGAGATGCTTTATTTGTCACATTATTATAACAATCTGTAGTAAGCAAGCAATTCAGATTTGTACATTTTTATATTGTACTTATTGGCATCACTGGTCTGAAATGCACATTTTCACCAACAGACCTGTAACAGACAAGTTTCCAGCAAAAAAACTAAAGTCTAGAAATAAAATTGGTAAAACCCAATGTGTGCTTGTTGTCGGGGTTTTTTTTTATTATTTAATTTATGTCTTCATGAATGCTGAATGGTAGTAACTACCTGATGCAATGAGTAAAGCACATGACATTTTCTGGTCTTGACTCTTTGCTTGTCCTGGTTTTGGCTAGAATAGTTAATTTTCTTCCTAGCAGCTGGTATAGTGTTGTGTTTTGGATGAGAATAACGTTGATAACGCACTTATATTTTAGTTGTTGCCAGTCAAGGTCTTTTCAGCTTCTCATACTGCTCTGCCAACTAGAAGGCGGGGGACACCCAAGAATCTGGGAGGGGATGCAGCCAGGACAGCTGACCCAAACTGGCCAAAGAGATATTCCATACCATATGACATCATGCTCCATATATAACTGGGGGAGTGCGCCAGGAGGAACTAGCTGAGCATTGGCTCCAGGTGGTGAGAAATTGTGCTGTGCATTGCTTGTTTTGCATAGTCTATTGTTATCATTATCATCCTCTTTCTTTTCTGTCCTATTAAACTGTCTTTATCTCAACCCATGAGTTTTACCTTTTTCTTTTCAATTCTTTCCCCCATTCCACTGAGGGGCATGGTGAACGAACGGCTGTGTGGTTGTTGCAGCTGCCTGATGGGTTAAACCACAACAGTGCTTGAATAGTTGCAATGCTGAAAACCTTTTGTCATTATTTTAGGAAACTGTAGGCGTTTTTAGCAACGGGTAGGTGACTGTTACAGTAACGTGTATTTTTAAGAAAGCACATTTTTTTTGCTGAAGATTTTCTTTTAAACATCTAAGGTAATTACTCAAACACCATTTGGTGGTTCTTTTCAATAAACTGTAAATAAAGTAGGTGTTGGTACAGAATGCTGGTTTGTATTTATTTATCAGTTTAAAGTTGTGTGTCCTAGAATACCTTTACAGAAGACAGTTTTTTAAAAAGCAATAAGGTTAACCTGCGTTCTCTCCCTTCCCCTCATATACAACTTTTGCATCTTACTATTGTATCACTAAGATAATAAGGAATAAATCAGAAAAATGTAAAAACCTACTAAAAATACATAAAAAAAGAACTGGATCTAGAAGGGCGGGAATTATGTATGGCTATACAGTAAAATGAGAACAAATTATAACCTATGTCCCAATTCACATTGCAAAATATCTCTGAAAACTGGGGACGCATATTATCAATTATTACAAGAGCTGCAGATGACAGAAACAGCTTATTCTTAGTGGAGAACGGTCAAGCTTCTAACCCACGTATTTGACTCTTTACCCTCTGAAAATACTCCTGCCTTAAAAAAACCAATCTATGTAAAACATCAAGCGCTCCTCTCTCCTGTCACAAATTAGAAATCTAGTATCTGCCTCCTGAGCTTCCCATTGACTAAACTTCACATTACAACTGATTCTATGCGGTAAGTACAGCAAAGGAAATGAAAAATGAAACTCCCAAGTTAACACCTAACATGTTAATTATAGTCTAGTGCAAAATGAGTTTGTCTTAGTGCAGTTACCAATAGATGGGAAACCATCTGCATCAGAAGAATCCCAGTTGAGCCTGTATTAGCTTGTCAGCTTCCCAGTCATTTCAGGCAGAAACCTGAACCCTGTGGCTGCCTGTAAAATCAGAGATCAGGTAGGTGAAGTAATACCAGTACGTAGTGTGATCTCTGATTTTTTCCATTTGAAATGGGGAACTCCTCAATATGGTCAAGTTAGACTGGTAGGCCACCAAGGAAGAGTCATATAGCAGTGAAAGAAGATCTAAACTAGATTCACAGTGACTCTAAATACAGATCAAGCCAAAGTTTAAATTGGACTTGCTCATAAAAGACTAATTTTTTCCACCTAGATCTTTTATCACTTTTCTGCAAAATTTCAGCATATTTTAAAGAAAAAACGGGGGAAAAAAAAAAAAGACACTCTTGTATCACTGATGGCTAACCTCGCTGATGTTGAGTGAAGACATTCTTATGAAATCTTGATTTGGGACAAAGACCTTTTTGCTGTTAAAAAAAATAAAATGATTCAGTGAGAAATTTAAACCAGCATTTTGTTGAACATGTTAAGTGGGTTTTGCCTTTCCTATCTGTTTTATAAACTCTCTTAAACCGACTGAAGTGTTATGTGACTTAAGTAGGTTTAAGTCTACATGGTCAGCTCTGTTATTTACATTTTCCTTCTCTCAAACATCATCTCTAAATGCAGAGTACTAGATTTGAATGTTGGGTGAACTATGCTAGTATTACT